TTCTTGCAAAAAAAAAAAAAAACCGGAAAAGAAAAAGGAAACCCCACCAAGAAAATATTCTTTCCTTTTGCCCCTTTCTCGAACATAAAAAGCCCACCTTTTGACAAACCCATTTGTCAATTTGTCCTTCTCTTAACATTTTCATTTATATCGTTGTTTTTCTGAAGTTCTCGAAGAGGAAAACGAAAAATGGCGACCCTGGGTGATATTGGGGTGTCAGCTTTAATCAACATACTGAGTGCTTTTGCGTTCTTGCTTGCATTTGCGCTGCTGAGGATTCAGCCAATAAATGACAGAGTTTATTTTCCTAAATGGTATTTGGCTGGAAAAAGGAGCAGCCCTAGGGACAGTGGTGGTGGTTTTGTGGGCAAATTTGTGAATTTGAATTTCAGGACTTATTTGAGTTTTCTCAACTGGATGCCTCAGGCTCTGAAGATGAGCGAGCCTGAGATTATTGGTCATGCTGGGCTTGATTCTGCAGTTTTCTTGAGGATTTACATACTTGGGTAAGTTCAAGACTGCATTTTTATCGGTTTTCTTGAGCCTGAGATTTATTGGTCATGCTGGGCTTGTTCTCATTTCTTAGTGTTTGAACTTTGAATGGTTATGGTGGTTATTGTTACTTTTGAGGAGACAATGTTTGATTGTTGGCACTCTTGCTAGTTCAGTTCTCTGTCTTATCGAAGGTTGGCGTATTTTATGGTCTTGGACTCGCATAAGTTCAACAATTTTTCTACTTGTTAATGTTCTAGCTTGCTTATATTTGTTTCGAGGTTTGTTTACTTTGGGACGTTTGTAGACGAGCTAATTGATGGCACTATGCTGCTTATTTTCTATAACTATGTAGGCTGGATAACATAATGGTGACAGGGCTCATAGTTTTATTGATTTCTTTACAGTCCATTTAACATTTTTCTACTTTGAATTGAAGTTGAAGAATCTCACATTATTTACACTTCCCTAATCATTTTTACCTCTTGGCAGATTAAAAATATTTCTACCAATAGCCATTGTAGCCTTCATTGTTCTGATTCCGGTAAATTTTTCTGGTGGCACATTATCTTTCTTGCGGCGCGACTTGGTCGTCAGCAACATTGACAAACTCTCGATATCAAATGTTCACTCCAAGTCGTATAAGTATGAAGTTTGTCTTAATTTAGTATTTTTATTAAGTTTTATTTACTTGAGATCAGTTCATTTTACGCATGTATGATCTCGGTATTCCTAGTTGAACTTAAACTGATCATCATATGAAATTAATTCAATAATCTTCAATTTTGTTGATAAATGTAGGTAAAATTAATAATATGGTTATATTGTAGTGTATTGTCCCGATATAGTAATTCTTGCAATTGACATTTTCAGGTTTTTTGTCCACATATCAATGGAGTACTTGTTCACATTCTGGGCGTGTTACATGCTTTATAAGGAATATGATAGAGTTGCATCAATGAGACTGAACTTTTTGGCTTCACAAGGCAGACGCCCTGAACAATTCACGGTTAGTTCAACTGTTATTGCGATAAATCATCAGATTTGGAAGGACTTTAGCTATCAATATTGATTCTTTTTTTTTTTTTTTTTANTTTTTTTTTTTTTTTTAACTTTCTTCTTATATTTATTATAAGATTTGTGTGATCTGCACGTAGGTTCTCGTTAGGAATGTGCCACGTAATTCAGGACACTCAATATCAGATAGTGTCGAAAGCTTCTTTCAGAAAAACCATCCAGAGCACTATCTGTGCCACCAGGTAATTTTGGACCCACAAAAAATTCACCGGAAAGAATATCATCCTCAAAGATCTCCAATTTATGTATATAAATCTGTTGAGGATTTGTTCGATTACAAAACATCATTTTAACATGTGGCCTATCTTGTTAATTACCAACCAGCCTGTATACAAAGCTAAAAAGTTTGCCAAACTGGTTAGAAAAAGAGAAAAGCTCCAAAATCGGCTGGATTACAACCAGCTTAAGTTCGAGAGGAATCCAAACAAAAAGCCCACAAGAAAGGTATATACTTGTTTTTTGGGTTAAACATATTCGAGCAAGTTGTTATAAGAAATAGAATTATATTGCAAACAAATATAGTTTCGCCTAGTTCATTTGCTGCATATTAATTTAATGTAGCTTACTGTGTTTTGTTCATTACAGAAAGGATTTCTTGGACTGTGGGGTGAAAGAGTTGATTCGATTGACTTCTACAAAGAGCGGATTAAAGACATTGATAAAAGGGTATATATACTCCCTACTCTTTATTTACACAAGCTAATGAAAATGATTTTTTTTTAATAGACGTGAAGTGAGTTTTTTTTTTTTTTTTTANTTTTTTTTTTTTTTTTTAGTCTAATTAATTGCAAATAAAAAGGAAGTGAACTGAGTTTTTTGTAATTTTGACAAAACCGCTCGAATCTTGCAGTTATGCCTATATTTGATCATTTGTTTTCTTGCATGAAGTAAACTGCTTATATCATATGTACCTAATGGTTGCATTTTGGTTCTAATCGAATGTACTTTCTGATTATGTGCCGTTAGTTGACAATGGAGCGCGAAAAAGCCATGAAAGACCCAAAATACATAATGCCAGCTGCCTTTGTCTCATTCGACTCGAGATGGGGAGCTGCTGTCTGTGCTCAGACACAACAGAGCAAAAATCCCACGCTTTGGCTCACAAATTGGGCACCTGAGCCTCGTGATGTGTACTGGAAGAATCTCTCGATACCTTTTGTCTCGCTTAGCATTCGGAAGCTCGTGATATCAGTATTAATGTTTCTATTGGTCTTCTTTTACATGATACCTATTGCTTTTGTCCAATCTTTGGCAAATCTTGAAGGATTAGGAAAGGTGGCTCCTTTTCTCAGACCTCTTATTGAATGGTAATAGAATAAATCGAAACTCGTCATATTTTGTCCAAGTTATCTTTCGGTTTATTTTTGGCTTAAAAATGTAGTACTCTCAAGAAGTGATTTTTAATTTCCGAAGGTAAACGGGTCTTTCTATAATTAGACTAAAATTCAAGGTTGGCTTCTGTGACTAAAAAAGAGCTTCCCTAATTTATATGATGCAAATATACTGATTTATATTTTTTTCTCTTTAATTGGGATGCCATTAATGAATATCTATGCTCGAAAAAATATAAACGGTCCATGTGTTTTTGCAGGGAGGTTGTGAAGTCATTGCTGCAGGGCTTTCTTCCGGGTCTGGCACTCAAAATCTTTTTGTTTGTTCTTCCTTCAATTTTAATGATCATGTCGAAAATCGAGGGGCACGTGGCAAGATCAGTTTTAGAACAGAAAACGGCTGCGAAATATTACTATTTCATGCTAGTGAACGTTTTCTTAGGGAGCATAGCTGCCGGGACAGCTTTCCAGCAACTTCATGCTTTTCTTCACCAATCTCCTACACAGTAAGTGACGTTTTTTCTGTATTTTTAATGTTGCATTCTTGAATTGCTTAAGTGATTATTTATAATTAGCATAACACACACTGCAAGCTTCAAACTTTTTATTATATATATATATATATATATATATATATCCTTTTTTTTATGAATGAAGTTTTTCGGGTGTAGGATCCCAAGGAACATCGGTGTATCTATACCAATGAAAGCAACATTCTTTATCACATACATAATGATTGACGGGTGGGCTGGAATAGCTAGCGAAATCTTACGATTGAAGCCTTTGGTGATTTTCCACCTGAAGAACATGTTCATAGTTAAAACCGAACGAGATTTGGAGAGGGCAATGGACCCCAAGAGTGTCGATTTTCCCGAAACTCTACCATCCCTTCAGTTGTACTTCCTTCTTGGCTTGGTGTACATGGCTGTTACACCGATTCTTCTCCCTTTTATATTGGTTTTCTTCGCCTTTGCCTACTTTGTGTACCGTCATCAGGTTAGTTAGTTCCACTCGGTTTCGATTCAATTTTTTTTTTTTATTTCACGTGCATTATTCTGAGTTAAAAAATAATCAGATGGACTAAGAGTGTGTTTGGTAAGCATCATAAGCTAGCTTATAAGCTTCGTTTATGCAAATAAGTTTGGTTTGGTAGGACGAGTCTTTTTAATAAGCTCGATCTTATCTCATAAGCTTTCTTTGGGTAACTTTTCTAATAATCCCGTTGAAATTGTTATTTCACTGACTTATCAGCTAATTTTACCAAACGCTTTTATCAAAACGCTTTTATCATATCAGCTAGTTTTTAAACAATAAGCTATCATCATATCAGCTAGTTTTTAAACAATAAGCTATCGAAATACACTTATAAGCTATCAGCATATTCGAGTTTTGATATTCATTATTATCGGAGGCATTGAAATCGATAAACTAGTGAAATCCGGTACAATAACCCTTCTTTCTTTTTTTTTTCTTTTTTTTTTTACCAGAAATACGAAAGTGCCGGGGCATTTTGGCCGCACGTTCATAACCGCATCATAGCAAGCTTGCTGATATCACAGCTGCTATTAATGGGCCTATTGAGCACGAAAAAGGCCACGAATTCAACTCCTCTGCTAGTCGTTTTACCCATACTTACTTTGACCTTCCACAGGTACTGCAAGCATAGGTTCGAGCCAGCTTTCAGAAAATACCCTCTCGAGGTAATCTTTGCGTTTAGAAAAAAAAATCGAGCATTTTTTTTTTGTCCATTTTTTTAGAAATACCCCTGTTTATACACCCTTAATGTTTTTGTATTTGTTATATAGCCCCCTCAATGTATTCAGTTTGTGAAATGAAACAAAAACAGAGGATATTTTTCTATTTTTTGTTTGTAATTTCATAGTTTCTCCTTATTTAATTTTTGGTCCTTCAGGAAGCCATGAGTAAAGACATGCAAGATCGAGCTTCCGAATCCGAGACAGCCAACTTCAAATCTTACTTGGCAGATGCATATTTGCACCCGATTTTCCACTCTTTTGAAGGAACCAACTTATCCGAAGTTCGGGTGGATAAAAATCGGGCTGATAGTTCTAATCCTTTGCCAAACATGTATCGTTGTCATAAAGACGAGACATCCTATCGAAACATGTATAAGCATGATGTTGAATCTCAGCAAAACTACTAGCAATATTTGTTGTTAATTTTTATTTGGATTTGGTTGTGTAAAGTTTTAATCCTCAGCATAAATCAGTAACTTTTTAGGTTTGGGTTATGTTCTGTTACCTGATGTAAATTTTCAAATGTTGGGTAGTTTATTTATTTTTCTAATTAACAGTGTTNNTTATATGTGTGCTTAAATACAATTTGACCAACGCTAGAATAGTTTTAGTATTGCCTGGAATAGAAACAAACATGAAAATTAATCCCAAAATTTTTCTTGTTGGCTACATAAAAGATAACAAGAATTCTAGAATAAAAAATTAAATAAAATAAGGCATTAAAATGTCTGATAATGTTGTATCTATGTCTCAAAAAATAACAAGAATTCTAGCACATAACTTGTAAGTCATTTGACAAAGGTGGTGATAAAAATTAAAAGTCATAGAATAACTGAGTAAGTATGAAAAATTAAAAAATAAATTTCTGTTGCTCATCAAAACCATTAATTTTATGCTGCCAAACAAAACTATAAATTTTCAATAAAACTAATAACCACCATAAAGTCAACACTGTATCTGACAAGAAAAACAAGAACCACATATAGTTTCTTCATCACTTTGCTCAAAACAACCATTTTTATTGGTCTCCAAGATTGAAATATTTGGTGCTTCCCATTTTAATTCTCACAATTAAAAATAACAGTTCCCATGTTAAGACTCGATTCCCGTTTTATAACCTGATTAAATCTCATCTCTCAAATCATCAGGCAAAAACGTAAAAAGAAAAAAAAAACAAAAAAAAAATCAACATGAGCACTTTGGCTCATCTCTGTTGTTACCTAATTAGTGGTATGACATTGTTGGCTTTTGAGGATTATTATAGGGGTTATCGTTGATTATCGATCCAAATTCCAAGATTACTCTTGTCGAGGATTTGAATGACTTAGGGTGACAGAGCAAAATCTTCGGTAAAAAAATAATGTGGTCTGGAAATAGTACAGCAAATATAAGATTTACCTAACCAAGTGAGCAACTGAAAAATGAGATCTTGTTGATGTCATCAGGAGAATATATAAGCATTTATTTGCCACAAAAACAAAGATTGAGCAGTGAGAAAACAGTAAAAGGCATCATAATTGTCCCCAAAATAGGCATTTGACAAAATGTTTGACCTCTCAAAGATCAGATCAGCTAGAAAACACATATGATAATTCAACTATTAAAATCTTCTTATCAACAGAAACTCACAAGAAGTCTTCTGCGAGAAATTTGGTGTTGAGATCGTTCTAAAATGCAGAGCATATAGTCTCTTGACTTAATAGCAAAAGTTGAGCTTCTTCATCACTTTGGCATAAGCCAAGGGGACTACGCCAGGTTGTCTGAGGCGACGTTTGGACTTCTTGGACTGCACGAAAAACAAAACTCTTAGAGCATTTGTAAGTATTTAGGCAGGTTACTCATTAATTGGGAACACTAGAAGACAGAGTAGATAAGAAAACTCGTTGTGCATAGAGAAAATTTGAAAGCAGTAGAGTACAGCTTTTTTGGCCATGTCCTATGTGTCAAATAGACAACTCTAGCATCATTGTGTATTAAACATCTCGAACAAAGCTAGTTACTAACAGGCATCTACACTAATTGCAGTGGAAAAGTATAACATCAAAATCAAATCTACTTAAAATCTTTAACTACTGGAGATCTGATTTTTCATATTTATGTGTTGTGGTTTTAAGTTCTTAGATCTTGATCAAGAAATTGGTAAAATAAGCATTTTGGGTAGGTAAATGTAATTTTTCCCTTCAGAAACTATCAGTTCATAAACCCATGAGTATGACATATCTTGTTCTTTGAGACACAAGAAAAATAGAAGTGCAATTGGTATGGAAACCTGATTTTACAAATAAAAATGAAATCAATGGATCACATCCATTAAGCAGTAGGGTTTAAACTACTACTCCCCCAAGTCAATGGGCGAGCTCATACAGGAAATTTTACATATAACCCAACCAAAAAAAAAACAAAAAAACAGTTTATGCCCAACTCCATAAACATCATTTATACACAAGCATGGACAAAAAAAATATATGCAGAGAAATAATCTTTTCAAAGTCCAAACCTCTCTCTCACAATAGTATTAACTAAAGCTTCCCACAAGACACAAAAAATAACAAACCTTTGAGAATGCATTATGCCTTTTCCCCTCCTTCCAGCGCCTGATCTGCCCATCATTCATTACCCTGAATCTGCCTTTAAATGACCTATTCCATATAATCATAGTAAAATCAACAATCCTCGTAAACTCTCACAAACCATTAACATTAGTGAAATACAACACATAAAAATGGTGGCCTTAGAGTAACAGAGATATACGAGTAGCCTTTGATTTTGATTTTCTTGACTTTAGAAACTACAGGGGTCATTGGCTTCCTACTCTTCAACTTCCTTTTCCTCTGCTTGGCAGTGATATACCGCACTTGGGTCAGCTAAAAGTACCCCATTCAGAAGGAAAAAGGAACATCAAAAACTATGTGAGCAAAATCAAAATAACTCCAATGAGAACATTATGTTAAAAGTAGTTCACAGTATACGAGCACAGTCATGCTGCCAGCAAATAACAAGAGAACACTAACAGCAATGGTAGTCAGTTGGTCTTCCGACTTTCCCAGTCGAATGACAAAAAGTTGCACGCAGAGCTAAAATGAAGGCTTCACATTCTTTCATGACCACGACCCAACAAACGAAATGCAACCATAGATGGGAAGGGAACTTGGCATGAATGTATCAAGCTAAAAATCCCTCCAAAGCACGAAACACAAGAAACAACCTTTTGTAGCTTTAAGGATCAGAACTAATCTTCAACAGAAACACCACACCAAAGGAAGACGCATACTATAATTTCCATATCTAAGCATACTAAAATCCCATCCACTTTCCTACAAACAATCACATCAAACAAGAGAAACCCACGCCAAAAAATTAAAAATAAAATAAAATAAAAAATGCCCCCCCTCCTGAAACGCGACCAAGCAGCTAGAGCGAACACATATTAGCAGATACTCACTCACCAACACAATAAAAATGAAAGAACAAATAATAAAACAGCTCAGAGGAAAAAAAAAACACAATGAGACTGCAATATCCCATTAAAAAAACAACAGGAATACATATATGTATAACACGAAAACGATCACACACGCAAACATGACATTAGAATTTTAACTTACAGCGATTGGAGAGTGACATAGCTGCGGAAAGGGAGGGCTACTGAGAAGAGGCTTGAAATTGGGGGAAATTAGTGATTGGGAGAAAATGCGGGGTGCCTGGGGAAAATTGGGACAAGTATGAAGAAGGCGACTGGGAATGATGGGTTGACGGTGGTGATGGTGGTGGGCCTTAGGGATGGAATTAATAGCTGCCGCCAGCCGGAGCCTCGAGCACCATTTTCGAATCATCTCTGTGTGTGTGTGTTTTCTGCTGAGGTTTTCTCCGGTTCAGTAATTTGTTCTGTGTTTCATGAAAAGGGAAACAAAAAAAAATAAAAAAAAAAAAATTGAGTAATGTTTAAGGGAATAATTGCATTCTGGCCCTCAATTTATTTGGGTTTCATACTTTGCATCCCAATCATGAACATGAACGTGGCTCTTTGCTAAAGTGAATCGTTTGTAAGTTGGCTCGTTAATGCTCAAATAAATCAGCCGAGTTTGAGTTTGTTTAATTGTTCATGTCGTTAAAGTTGAATAAATAATAATTTTTTACGTAATTTTATGAATATTTTTATTCCAACTCGTTAGATTTAGAGTTTATTTATTGCCTCAATTAATTAATACGTCTCGACCCCGAGTTGGGCTCGTTCATAGAATAGAGCACTTGGTACGAAGGTTTATTGCCTCAATTAATTAATACGTCTCGAGTCCGAGTTGGGCTCGTTTCATAGAATAGAGCACTTGGTACGAAGGTGACTAATTATGAACACCAAATTTATTTATATTTTTAGTGAAATTTCTTTCGGTGTGGTTGATATTCATCACTTATCATCCCACTATATGTTTTTGTTCTCTTTTATACATTCATCGACATTGATCATGATCGAGACTCTTTTACACCCTTATTCAAGAACAACATCAGTTACTGGTTCTACTAAGCTAAATAGCTAATAGAAACACCACAGATTTTTCTTATATGATATCTCAAAACTTCTTGATAATCAGCCAGTTTTCTTACATGATCTCAAAACTTACTGCTCAAGAAGTTGAAAAAACAGCAGGACATAAAAAGCCTGTATATACCAATCAGTCATCTGTACAGAAATAGAAACAGTGGCTCCCAAAAGCAATATACAGCCACAGCTAAAGCCTTCGCGTGTCGAATGTGACGATATTACCCTTGTTATTTCTTCGACTGGCTTGACATCATTGTTTCTTACAGTTCCACCGCAGTAAAAAAAATGGCCACGAGCATCAAGCACTCATGAGGAGCTCGTCTATCCACAAGTCATTTTTCTCCATTTGTTGTTCTCCTTGAAGAATTTCAGACGCTGCAGAGTTTCCATCTAACTCGAAGTTGACATTTCCATTCACGTAGTAACAGCTATGTACATCTTTTCCTGGATAAATGAAATGAAGATGAATATAACTTACCAACCGAGAAGTAATATTTCTTTTTTACTTCTTTTACAACTAATAAATGCATGTCATTTATAAAAAATTACTTTTGCAGCGTTTAAACATACCTGTTGACTGGCTTGATACAGTTGAAGGACTGACCGTTAGGATTTTCTGGCAAATTACAGTTCCCTGAAAATGTAAGAAGGTGTAGCCGAGTAACTTTAATCTATCAGTCTCGTTCATCACGAAAAACCCAAAAGAATTAGTCCAAGTGCTTAGTATACTCGGAACAGCTGGCAAAACGAGCCTCTCCACTCCTAATTGCACGAGTTTCTGCAAAAACCAAATTGATAAAAACTAAAACGTGTAATAACATTTCTTTGGATTAACTCTTCATTTGATTTCTGTAAGTTTTCGGCATATCACATCATCAAATCGTAAAAAGACTATCTGACATCTGAATTTCCTTGAGTAAGCAAACAACAAAAATAAATAAATAAGTAAAAAATAAAAATTTAGTGGGTTTCAGAAGTTTAAGCTGACCCCTATCTATTTACCTGCTCAAAGCTTTAAATGCAAAGTATATTTCCGCTGCAATTATCTGTAACTGTAACATTTATCTATATGTAGTGTACCTTTTCGAGTTCATTCATCAAAATCCGGCACATTCCAAGTCGACGATAACAAAACCGTGTTGCTACCAAAGGAACTTCTGCCACTCTCTTGCCATGTACTCTGTAGTCAACAAAACCAAGAATTTTTAAAGGTATTGAATTGAAATAGAACAGAGAATAAAAAAGAAGTGCAAATTTAAAAGAATGCAACAGCACGAAATACCTCACAGTAGCTACTGAAATCAACTCGTCATTCTTCTCCAGTACTACTGTATAAAACCCTCGAAAGTTATTACGGTTTGGTTCTGACCTGAATACATTATATCATAATCCATAAATCAGCAATATAAAGGTAATGAATGGAATCTTGCACTTGAATAACAAGATTTTTGAATCATCTGAGACATAAATTCTTGATTATGATCCTATTCAAGTGTGTGAAAGTATAAAACAAACTTCTAGAATGAGCATGACTTCAAATCGACCACAAAAATCCTCAAATGATTCACAAGTAGTAAACTATGGAAGATGATATTAGCCTATGTTTTTACAAATTCTTACCCTTTGCTGAAAATAACTTCTTCGACAAGATCTCTCCCAGTGCCGGGCTCTTTGAGAGGCTCGAAACATTCATGCATTAGGCCAAGAGCAACATTAAGCTTTCCATAAACCTCTAATAAATCTTCTTCACCATATGCATATTGATCGTTTGGATCAGACTTAATGTATTTCAATAAGGTCCAAATCATATCGTCAGTCCCCACCGAAACCGGTTTTCCCAGAATATCGCGCAGACCACAAAATATCTACAAAAAACAACCGAATACGTTAAAACCATAATGCAACAAGTACTTAAATTAAATGTTGTCTTCCATTTTTAACTTTTTTAAGGTACCTGTTCACATGTATCTTCACAGAACCAACTTACTCCCGAATAACAGCTTGTGGTTCCTTTATTTCTGAGGCACTCTTCATGATCTACAAAAACGCGCAAACGTCAAAATTAAGCTAATCTGTGAAAGTGTGAACCGGTATAAGTTAAACTTACACCGGCATTCGCACTGAGAACACGTGAGAACAGAACAGTCTATGATTTGTCCATTTTCCCCTTCGAAACTGCCAAATCCACAAATCTGACAACAGCAAGACGGGCAGAACCAATCGCCATCTGGAACCTCCTGTAAGATCCGTAATAAAACCATCATACGAAAAAATGAAACGGAAATAAAAAATAAGTAGGCCAAGCAAAGACAGTTTGTTAAAACTTAAAACATATCAAACACAACACCTTTAGACCAAGGCACTCAGTATGAAAAGACAACGGACACTTGTCGCACAGTACTAATCTGCCTCCATAGCCGCAGATGGAGCACACATCGTCATTCGTCTCGCCACTTGTCGCGACGCCATTCGTTCTCCTCATTTCCATACGATGTTTCAGTTCCAGCTGGCACTCCATCAACGACCTCCCGTCCTCCAAGAATATATTCGCCAAAGGCCTGCAGTTCGAGCTTCCGGCATGTAACTCAAACTTACTGAGAGTAAATATTAGCCCACAACAGCTGCATTTAATCCCATCACGGCCAATTCGCCCCTCAGCCATTGGCAAACCATTCTTGCCACGATACTCGACTCGGGCCCTCGGCAAAACCACATCACTATCAATCAACCAAGACAATACAGTTCGAGGATTATAATGACAAGAAGATTGGACCATGATATCACGAACCGTTTTACTTTTCGAGTACGATTTTCTCTTCTTTCCTTTCTTGGAAAATCTCCTCACGTTACCAGATTCAGACGATACGCTCGACAGATTCTTCCTGGCCTTCCCTATTTTGCCTATTACGTCGCTAAATGTTAGGGCATTAGCCCCCAAGCTCCATTTACAGGCCGTGAGGAGAGAATTGAACACTCTACCGTTGGGCGAGCTGTACCGTAATTCCCTCGTGAAACCTTCTTTGAGAGTGTAATAGAAAGACCAACCGATAGCAGATAAGTGCTGCTTTGCCTTCATGGCTCCGGGCTTGCACCCCCTTTTGCCTGCTTGCGTGCAGTAATCCCTAACGGCCTCTGGGCAGTATTCCGGCTGGATAATAACCTCGTTAACTGGATTGAATAACTCGGTCGATTTAGGGCAAGAAACTCCGGACTCTACCGAGAGGAGGATTGAAATCGGTTTCTCAGATGGCCGTTTGGAGACCGGCCGGAAGCCTTGGGATAAGATGGTACAGACTTTGGGAAGAGAATAGAAATATCCGCCGTCGGGGGAGGAATAGCGCAGCCTGACGACCGCGCCGTCGAGCACGAAATCGATCTTCCAGCCGGAGTACAGCAGGTGTTGGCGGACGCGCAGAAGAATCGCGTCCGAGGCCCTCCTCTCCGAACGGAGCGCGTCCAGGTACGCGAAGACGGCGCTGGAACAGCACTCGGCGCCGGGAATCAACCGCGGGACGGCCGACTGCCAGTCGAGCCGCTTCCTCTGCTTCAAGATCCCGCGCCCCATTGGCGGGAAAATCGAAAGGTCGTACAGAAGAATAAAAGGGAAATGGGCTGTCGCGAAAATTCGAACCGGGCACGGGGGGGTCGTCCGGATTCCGGTACGAAACTGGTCGGACGGAGTGGGAGATGGGGGGCAACTCGCCTCCGCTCGCTGTTTTTCTTTGTTTTCTTCTTGCCTCCGCCGTGGACCGCCGCCGACGCCGTCAGATAGAGTTCGTGGAAGGTAAGGTTTCCCCGGAGAGTATTGTTCGGAAAGTAGAAACCTGGTACGTTTCTTTTGAGGAAGCCTGTTGGCAATCAAACTTCCATGTACAGAGATCAAGAGAAATGATTTGGGTTTTAGAAGGAAACTTGCATGATTGGTCGAGTTGAAGGTGGTTTTACATAGTGGCTTGTTATTAAGAGGTTAATTAATTAGTTTATAACTAAAATATAAACCATTTTCCCACCCTAATGTTTCGGGACATGTATTCATTTGAGATAACGAATTTGAAATTTCACATAACATTTTAAGTTTTATAAATATTTAATAATGATAATTAAACAATTTATATTGGAAATATAAAAATATATATATAAATAAAGGTCTTTTTTTTATTTAAATTTCATAATTTTTAAAAAATATATTATTATTATTTACTTTTTACTTGAACGATTTGTCGGGTATTAAATTATAATACTTTTTCTAATTTAGATGTAATAAATTTATAGATAACTTTTTTAATTGATATATTACTTTATTAACAAAATTAAATTCTAAAAAAATGAAGAGGATTTTTTATTTAAATTTTAAATAATTTTAAAAAATTAAATTATTATTTATATAAAATATATATATAATTTTTTATTATAAAATTAAATGATCTACCAATAGTAATTAAAATTAATAAAACTATATATCAATTTAAACTCAACTATAAATTCATTAAATATAAATTAGAAAAATATTATAATATGTCATATAAGTGAAAAAAAATCATCTGAAATCTACATCTATACTAATATAAAAAGGTTGTTGGAAAAATACATAAATAGTAACTTTGAGTTTTTAATTAAATGTTTGACTTACTATTATAAGAAATGTTTATAAAAACACATGAGATTATGAAAAAAGAGCACATTAATTTCATATACCGTTTTTTAAGAAAAACGAGTGCAAATATTTTAAAAATGGATGTTATCTTATCATTTTTCTTTTTTCTTAATTAACCGCTTTTTTAATTATTTGGTGAATAAATTTCAAATTATTTTTCTTGGTAAAATTATTGGTGCATCTTTTCCAATGGTTTGTTGAGCGATCTCATTTCCCACACAATTTTGACAAAATCATATTCTCGCTATACTTTCAAAATAATATATTTAACTATTTATAGAAACTCGATTTTCAAATGAGGTTAGATTTTTTTATGAATAATTCCGATAAGATTTAGTTGGTAAAAACACGTGAATATAGCATGATAATATGTATCTTTTGGTGACATCTCATATTCGTGTTTTCGTCCAAAAAATATTTAACAAAATTTGCAATTTAGGAGCAAATATTTTATTTTGAAACATCCATAACATATTCTTTATGACATTCAACTTAGGAAAATATAATATTGAGTAAGAATAAATTCAATTTAAATAACGCATCAATATAGTTTAAACTGAAAATGTACACTAATATAAAAAATAATTTGATATGAAAATACATCAATACAACCAAAATAACGCATCAATCCCCTCTATATATAATTTCAGAATGCGCTGAGCCTGTGGCAATCTCTCATGCTTTAAAATCCTATTTGACAAAAAATCATACTTTGGAATCAGACTTGGATATAAATTAATATTATAATAACATTCATCAATCTTATCATGAAGTTTCCACACTAATAAAACTTCTATATAAATAAACCAAATAATTTAAAATTCATGTTTTTATTTGTTTGAATCGTACACAAATTACTAATTTTTACAAAATGCACTCAATTGTCCAAAAGAAAAGTATTTCAGAATGCGCTGAGTTACGTGACAAACTCTCATGCTTCGGAATTCTATTTGACAAAAAATCATACTTTCGAATTAGACTTGGATATAAATTAATATTATAATAACATTCCTCAATCTTATCATCAAGTTTCCACACTAATAAAACTTCTATATATATAAACCAAATAATTTAAAATTCGTGTTTTTATTTGTTTGAATCGTACACAAATTACTAATTTTTACAAAATGCACTCAATTGTCCAAAGGAAAAGTGAGTCGTGCCGGCCAGTTTAGTCCAAAAAATATGGTTATGTCTTCTAATTTCACACTCTTTTATATATATAATCATTTCAATAACTGCTTATACACATCTAACATAACTACATAAATAAATAAACAAACATTCTTATGTGGACTTGTTAGATACATTAGTATTTCATTAGTATTATAGTATTTTCGGATAAAAATTATTTTTACTTAATCCGATTCCCTCCAACTCCAAAATAAATAGGATTCTTATATGTTCTTATATGCCGTGTAAATAAGATTTTTTGCTTAGTATTATAATATATTTTTGCTTAATCTTTGCCAAAATTGGTGTGAAACTATCCATATTTAAACATTTATAATAAATTATTATATTTATTGACTTTAAATCCACCTTGTTCTTGCATCTTAGAGGTATTCAAATAATGGATAAAGAAAATGCAAAACTTATTAGACACATTAGAATGGCGAAAATGAAAGAAAAGCGTGGATTATCTCCTGCAGGCATTGAAACAATTGTTTCGGGTTAGTATATTTTATGAGACTTACTTTTAATTTTGTATTATATATAATATATGCAACTTACATAATTATAAATTAATTATTAGATTAAAGGATAATATTTTATTTATGTAAAATGCAAACAATATATATTTTATTGATTTTTTTTTTATATATTCGATGTCAGACACTCCATCCAGTCAAACAAGAAAGTTCAGAATGTCCTTTATAGATGCAAAGCGACAAAACGACATTCAATGTATACAACTTATTTTTTAAATGCAATAAAATGCTCTGGAGTTCCCAATCACATCTTAAAATTGAAAGTTGGTATTCATGTAATGTTGCTTCGAAACATGGGTCAATCTTCTGGGTTGTGTAATGGCACCAGGTGAGTAATCACTCGACCATTCTTTTAATTTTTTTGGCATTTATACATTCCTAATTTTAGCTAATTTATTATCTATCATTATTGTAATGTTTTTACTTTTTAATTAGAAAGAAAATTGATAACTTTAATAAATAATCATTATTTATTTTATGGGTTGTGTAATGACACCGGGTTAGTCATCACTCGACTTGGAGATCGCATTGTTGAGGCTAAGGTTCTATCGGGAAAGAATATTGGGAGCAAACCATATTTAAACATTTGTAATAAATTATTATATTTATTGACTTTAAATTCACCTTGTTCTTGCATCTTGTAGGTATTCAAATAATGGATAAAGAAAATGCAAAATTTAGTAGACACATTAGAATGGCGAAAATGAAAGAAAAGCGTGGACTATCTCCTACAGGCATTGAAACAATTGTTTCGGGTGAGTATATTTTATGGGACTTATTTTTAAATTTTATATTATATATAATATATGCAACTTACATAATTATAAATTAATTATTAGATTAAAGGATAATATTTTATTTATATAAAATGTAAACAATATATATTTCTTTGATTTTTTTTATATATTCGATGTCAGACACTCCATCCAGTCAAGCAAGAACGTTCAGAATGTCCTTCATAGATGTAAGGCGATAAAACGGCATTCAGTGTATACAACTGATTTTTAAATGCAATAAAATGCTCTGGAGTTCCTAATCACATCTTAAAATTGAAAGTTGACATTCTTGTAATGCTGCTTCGAAACATGGATCAATCTTCTGGGTTATGTAATGGCACCAGGTGAGTGATCACTCGACCATTCTTTTATTTTTTTTTTTGGCATTTATACATTCCTAAATTTTAACTAATTTATTATCTATCATTATTGTAATGTTTTTACTTTTAATTAGAAAGAAAACTGATAACTTTAATAAATAATCATTATTTATTTTATAGATTGTGTAATGACATCAGGTTAGTCATCACTCGACTTAGAGATCGCATTGTTGAGGCTAAGGTTCTATCGGGAAGGAATATTGGGAGCAAAGTACTTATTTCGCGGATGTTATTGACTCCTTCTGATGTGAGATTGCCTATCAAGTTTCAACGAAGACAATTCCCACTTATGGTTTGTTTTGCAATGACTATTAATAAGAGTTAAGGACAGACATTATCTAACGTCGGATTGTACTTGCTTAATCTTGTATTAAGTCATGGTCAACTTTATGTTGTAGTATCTAGAGTTAAAAATAGAGATGCTTGAAAATTCTGTTTTGCGATAAAGATGGAAAAATTGTAAATAAAACTATTAATGTAGTGCACAAATTTTTTTTTCCAAAATTTGAAATAATATCGACTTTAGTATTTTCTATTTTTGCACTTTTATACGACAACATGTGTTGTTTCTATTATTTAATATTTTATATTTTTTTCAAACAACCGTATAGTACACTGGTATCGTACTAGTATAGTTTAAACTGAAAATGTACACTAATATAAATATCAATAAATATTTCTTAACCGTATAGCACGGAATTCCTACTAATACAACTAATAATTCAATGGTATAAAATGTATATAAAAAAATACTTTCAATGACGCTAATAAGTATCAGCGCATTACTAGACAGAAAGCGTCGTCACTCGTCAGATGGACTCTATGTCTCTATCAGGAC